GATGGAGCATGTAGACATCTGTCAGCGAATTTGTTTGATCTTCAGAACACAATTGCAAAACAAAATGATCCACTTTCGTGTACAAGCAAACCCTGTGTCTAGATTCAAAAGAAAAGGGATTTGGCTGCAACTCCAGCCTTCAAATTAAATTTAGGAAAAAAGGAAGACAACCCCATGCTAGGTCAACTTGAAAGCCAACAATTTGATCCCAGACCTCGTTCAGTTCTTGCATCTTGTGAAAAGAGGCAAAAACTCCTTCAGCATGCAATACATGACATTTATCCTGAAGTTGTTTGCCTAGATATACTTCCTGCAATTAACCCAGAAGTAAATCCTCTTCGAGAAGACTTTCCTATTGAGCATGTAATCAATGTTATTAAAGAGGAGGAAGCTATCATTACACCACATGCTCCTTGCATGTCTGATATAATACAAGAGCTTAAGATGGACACCAAGGAACAAAAACTTAACTACAAGTGAATATTTAGAGTTTGCCAAGAATTATGTTTTGAACTACAAAGACAGCAAAGACCAAAGAGAGGAAATATCATTGATTACCGCTGCGGGTCAAAGCAGTAATTCAAATTGGTTTAAGCATAGAATTGGCCGTATTACAGGTTCGGTGGCACATAGAGTGCACACTAGGAGAGAAGGAACCGATCCTACAAGCTTAATTAATGCTACAATTGGACGATGATTAGCTTCCTCCACAAATTAAGTATGGACAAATTCATGAGGATGATGCAATAGAACATTATGTTTCAATTGAGAGGTTAAATTCGCCAAATTTTTAGTTAGGAAGACTGGGCTGGTTCTGCTAAATGACTGTTCATTCCTTAGTACCAGTCCTGATGGCATAACCTCTGATGGCAGAGTTGTTGAAACAAAATGATTATGGAAATTCAGAGAAAAAACTCCCAAGGAAGCTGCAATTAGTTCTGGCCATGTTCACGAAGTCCAAGGTAAACTAACACTGAAGACAAACTCTCCATGGTACACTCAGATACAGATTGAAATGGCAGAATGTGAACTCGAGGAAGGTGTTCTTCTTATTTACACTGACAAGGGTGTTTGTATTGTGAATGTACCATTTGATAAAGACTTATGGCTTCATTTGAGGGAGAAACTGAAAGCATTCTTCCTGCAGTTTGTTCTTCTTGTTTTGTTAAGCTAAATGTTTACTTTACTAGCTTTGGGTACAGGTTGCAAATAGCTGCACAAACCATAACAACATTGTCAATTGTGTGTTTAACTTTTAGAGGAATCACCTTTTGCAGAAAAGAGAAATGTTTTAGCCTTTCGATAGCACGTTCAACATGAATTCTTGGAGGCAATTCGTCTTGTTTTTGTGACCTGCTTACTTGATAATGGTTTTCCTTTTGAAAAAGGAGGGATATTTAACGTACAACCCCTCGCTGTACAATAATCTCGTACTGTGAAGCTACGGTCTGCCATGATGTCATCTCCAGCCTCCAGGAGATTAAACTGCTACACCTCTTGTAAGTTCCGTGCCAGATATATTCCCAGACCATAATTTGGAAATAAACGTAAATGCACCCGAAAGGGGAAATGCCAACCAGACACTTCAATGTATTTCTTTGTTAGTATTCACTCCATGTTTGAATTTGTGCTGTGGGTGTTTTGGATTTTTCTACCTGGAATTCAGTACAGTCAATGATGACTCTAGTATTTGGGTAATTCTTAAAAGACTTTGGTAGACAGCTCTTAATCTGATCTCTTGATGGCCAGTGAATGAGGTATTGCATTTCACGAGCAAGGAAAGCTTTCCACGTGACAACGATTTTTGTGACCAGTGTATTTGATACACCAAAGATGTCAGCCACAAACCTTCCTGTCAGGCCATGTTTTATTTTGACTAGAGTCATAATAAATTCATCAAAAAAGGGTAACTTTCTTTTAGGCCCAGATTTCTGTTTTGTATCACACTCCTAAGGAAGTAAAATAAGAAATTTTATTTTAAGATAAACTGAAAGCCAAGTTCTACAAGTATATGATTTAGTTTATCTGGGGGCAGCAGCTGGTGATTAGCCTCTCCCCTCACCACCCCCCTAACCTCCCCCCCAAAATAATTAAAATATCTGAAATACTAGTGTTTCAGCCCCCACCACCCTTACAAAATAATTTGTGCCACCTCTCTTAAGGTGGTTCCTCACATTTGCATTGCGCATCCTTACTGCGCATAATTTATGGCGTAATTAGCGCGCGCTCGTACACGCGAACACTGAAAACATGGCGGATTTCCCTTGATATGGAGTTCTGTCAGTTGAAAAGTGGCTATAGCTCACTAACGAGCTCGGGCACCCCTATTTTTTTTTCAGTCATTTTAATCAACTAATCGTTAGCTTTGCGTGAGAAAAAACTGATCTGATTTCTATTGTTGAAAATTAAATAAATAAGGAAAATAGCAGCTGCACTGTAGTCTTTTCTATTTTGCAGTTTGATAGCCGTGGCAAGCAATCTGGTTCCAATATTTTAACAA